AGCCAGGCGCAGAGACAGGGAGAGAGAGAGCGGCGTGAGAGGGAGAGAATGACGAGAATTTGTTTTGATAATTTTAGGGGTGGGGTGGGTTTATATTAATTTAATTTTCATAATATTTTTATTAATGTTTAATTAAGTATAAAAAACATGTATCTATATTAAAAACATTTGACTTTTGAAAAAAAAAAGAGATGAAATCTGATTTTGGAAATGTGAATACATAAACTATGGTTTTGTGTATTTTGAAACCTTAAAACCCTGCGTCAACATTAGGACCAATTTATTCATTCTTCAACACGAACATTATACATTTTAATTAAGTTAGCTTATTAAGAATTTCGTGGAAGTAAGAGCTTGTTTGTCTCCTATTATTGGGAGAAAATTAGTATAACGAATAATATTTTTTTGGAGAATGTGTAGTTAAAAATTAAAGTAATTTTATTGGTTTGTGTGTAGAATATTTTATTGACTGAATGTGTGGTGAAGAATTTTACTGTANTGAAAATTAAAGTAATTTTATTGGTTTGTGTGTAGAATATTTTATTGGGTGAATTTGTGGTGAAAAATCTTACTGTAGCAATCAATTTTTTGAATTAATGGTAGACAAACAGGGGCTAAATATAATTTCAAAATTTAAATTTGAAGTTTTATTCCTTTTAGAAAAATGTCAAATAGTTAAATTGAAACATATGGAAATGTGAATCTTTTTTTTTTTAATCATATTATTTCTCAAGCGTCCTCTTCTTTTGCTAATTGGACATAGTATTTTGCAATGAAATATATAAGAAAGTGAAAGAAAATAGTCAAGAAAGTTACAGTAGCAAAAAAAAAAAAAAAACTTCTCTTGCACCAAAGAGTCGCTTTATATCAAATTTCAATCAACTTAGACTCACGAAAAAAAAAAGAAAAAAATTGGATTAGAGAACTTTTATAAAGACTTGTAAAGTGAAAATAACAATTACATTTGTATGAATCAAAAACTAAAGGGTTCCATTTCAAAAATAGAGAACCTCGAGGACAAAAATGAAATATCTTTTTCTTTAGAGAGAGAAAAGATTAGGTCCTTTGATCTTATCTACAGATATCATGCATAGGCACATAGCCAACCCACAGATACCCCACCACCCCACCCACATACAATACAGCCTAGAGGGGCGTCATGTGGCGCCCTTCCATGTGGCCCTATCCATCTTTTTTTTCCCCCTATTTGGCCATTATTAAAATTATAATTCAGTTTTTTTCTCGTCTTATTCATCATATTTTTTCAATAAAATAATATTATACGTAATTTAAAAAAAAATCCTTTTTTTTTTTCCGACAACATATTTTTTAAAAAGATATATTATTTTAATCATTAAAATTAGTTCGCAGCTGTAGAACTAAACAATTACACTTACTTGTTCAACACTAAAATTCGCTTGTACCCTTATGTAGTTAAAGATAGCAAGTAAGACGGATTTAGAGGGTATTTGGTGGGGTTAAAATTAGATTTTTAGTAAATTATAATAAAAGTTTTTGAAATGTGTGGTTGAAGTTGTGAGATCAATGAAAGATGTGGTTAATATTAATTGTTTGATTTTGACTTAAATTAATATCAGATTTTAATCCAGACCAAAGATGAACTTAAATTCCATTCGAAATAACATGATTCAATGTTGCACCATTTTTAACTCTTATCGGAATCCGGAGTTTTCAGAGAAAAAGTCCCATCCTTTGTGGCGCAAGAATCACTTCACTTGAATGTTCTAACCACACACTTCACACACACACACACCACACAAAAACACGCGCATATACACGTACTCTTCCTCTCTCACCTCAAAAACCTCATGATCAAAGATTCGTTTGTACGCGACGCCCCGAAATCGACCCACCCACGGCACCCCCCGTTTTCTCCTTATAACCCAAAATAAATTAGAAAAATGGAAAATAAATTCTTCTCTCTCCGTTTGGCGTTTGTCTTAACTCTGATGTATATATATAGATAAGATATATCCAGTAGTTGTATTTGATTGTTTTCTTGTAAACCCAGTCCATTCCATTTCTTGATTCCACCCAGATCCCTTTATTCTATTTTTTCATTTGGATCCCCTCTATGTCCTGACAAAAACCTTCATCCTTCTGGTCACAACCACTTCTAAGAAGTCTCAAACCCATCAATAATTGTGTTACAGAGAATATAAGAGATTAAGGTAAAGAAGGAACCACAAAAATGGTGATCTACAGCCATAATCACAGTGATTATTCTGAGAAAATGCAGAGATGTCAAGATTATATAAAGGCCTTAGAAGAAGAACGTCGTAAGATTCAAGTGTTCCAACGTGAACTCCCTCTTTGTCTTGATCTTGTCACCCGAGGTAACCTCTTTTATAATGGTATTATGTTCAAAAGACGCAATTTTTAAAATTTTTTTGTTGTTTTTAATGTTTCTTTGGACGTGGGTTTTTTCGCAGCAATTGAGGCATGCAAGCAGCAATTATCTGGAACATCAACTGAGTATAATTTACATGGGCAATCTGAATGTTCTGAGCAGACATCAACTGAAGGGCCAGTTTTGGAAGAATTTATTCCTATAAAGAGAAATTCTGATGATGAAGAACGACAATCTAAGAAGCCAAAGGATAATACTAGTGTTAAAGATAGCATAAATGGGAGTGAAAAAAGTTCCAAGAAATCAGATTGGCTTAGATCTGTTCAACTATGGAATCAAACTCCAGATCTACCCCGCAAAGAGGTAGTTTTATAATTTTATTTATTTATTTATTTTTATCTGGGGTTTTGTTAATTTTGAGAGAGATTATTTATTTATTTTTTTAATTTGGTATAGGATTCACCAAGAAAAGTGTCCGTTGTGGAGGTGAAGAGAGATGGCAGTAGCGGTGCATTTCATCCATTTAAGAAAGAGAAAAGTGTTGGCACTTGTGGTGCTACAACTGCTACTGTGCAAGGGTCAATTAATAGGGAGGTACCGGTGGCTGCAGCCAGTTCTTCGGTGGAGACAGGTGGTAGCGTTGGCGGTGGGAGTGGTGGAAGTAAAAAGGAAGAGAAGGAAGGAAGGAAGGCAAGGAGGTGTTGGTCACCTGAGTTACATAAAAGGTTTATACAAGCCCTTCAACAACTTGGTGGTTCACATGGTAATTAATATGAAATTAGACTTTGATTAGGATTTTCTAATTTTGATTGCATTTGACTGAATTTTTGTTTTTATTGTTCTTTGGAATTTATGCAGTTGCTACACCTAAACAAATTAGGGAATTGATGAAGGTTGATGGCCTTACAAATGATGAAGTTAAAAGTCATTTACAGGTTTGTGTGAAGAATTTTTGAATTTTTTTCCTTCTCAAATACTTTTAATTTTTCTTTGGAATATGAAAATTAGAATGTGCCCTTGTTTGCAAAAAAATTGATTTTGGAATAGTGTTTCATAAAGAATGTGGTTAGGTTTCTGTATAATATTATTTTATCGAGAGAATGTGTCGATGATAACAGTAGAGAGAAAAATGAATTAAAATTTAATGTTTAGACATACATAGGTGCACCTTTTTCAATTTGGTTAGTGGTGCATCTCAATGTGTCCAATATGTAAATGGTGGTACATTTAATTATTGTCAATGGGAATAACATCTTTGAAAGTTCCAATTGCGAGGAATTTTAATATGGTTTACCGTAGTTTCTGGTAGATGTAACGTGGACGTCATAAATTCTTTTGAATCAAGAAAATTGTTCTTTTGATGGATAGAAAGTATTTATGCAATCAACTGGAAATTTATTGCGAAAGGACTTGTTAGTCTGTTGATATTATTAGAGAATCACTTGGAATTTGTTGGAAACTTTCATTTCAAGGAAAGACTAATTGAGTAGAGATGGGAATAATAATAATAATAATTGAGTAGAGAGGAATCCACGACTTCTCGATTTATTTGTTCTTGTGAAAGAAGACTCTTGATTACAAGCTTTCTTGACAACATTCTTGATTCTTCTTATGTTGTAACTTTGAAGTAGAGTTAGATGCTTTTAGCCCCTTCTTGACAACCATTATTTGATAAGAATAATGTTTTGAGTAGTGATTTTTAGGAGAATGTGTGATTAAAAAGTTGGAAAAAATTTTGAATTTACGTGCATAATATTTTATTGTGTGAATGTGTGGTTGAAAATGAGTATATAGAAAAAAGAATTTTCAAATAATGGTTGTACTGTCCTAAAATTGCTCAAGTTTGGGAGGTGTTTATAAGTTGTAATGTGTAGATAATAAGTGGTTTGACCGAAAGTGTTTATAAACACCTTCGCGAACGTATGTTTAAGCAGTGCCTAAATATCTTGTATTTGTAATTAATTGCAGAAGTATAGGTTGCACACGAGGAGGCCTAGTTCTTCAATCCACAACAACAACAACAACACACAGGCGCCACAGTTTGTGGTGGTGGGAGGAATTTGGGTGCCACCTTCGGAATATTCTGCAATGGCGGCAACCACCACATCCAGGGAGACACCGGTAGTTGCCACCACTTCTAATGGAATCTATGCGCCTATTCCTGCACTACCACCACCCTTCCAAGAGACAATAACATCCCCTAAACAGAGACAGCAACATAACCAATCGAATTCTGATGATCAAGGCAGCCATAGCGAAGGCCGTGTTCACTCTCATTCCCCAGCCACCTCCTCGTCCACGCACGCAACCGCTGCCTCGCTGGCTTATTGATTTGTGCGTGTGGAAAATGTAGAAAGTTTTGCAGTATTGACTTGTATAATCTTGCTGTATGACCGTAGAGGAAAATATAGAGTTGATTTTTGGTTCTTTTCTTGCACATTTTGATTAAAATATATTTGTTTTGTCATATTGTCTCGGATGAATGCATTTGATAATGGCGGTCAAATTGATTAAAATACTTGCAATTTCCCTTTGCGTACGACATCAAAATAAGGGAGGTGACACACAGAAATAGTGAATTAGCGATCAACCCATTGATTTATTCATTTCCTAATTCCTATGACGAAGTTCAACGATCCTATAATCAACAATAACGTTATTTGTACTTAGACTAAATTTAACGGAACGAATAATTGACTAATTTCCAAACTTGTCAGTTTTTACAATCATATGAACCAGGCTATTTGCAAAACAATTGACAAAATCGGAGAACGTTAGGTAAATTTCATGGTCAACATCCTATTCCAACTTTATTTGAAGTTTCTTATCAATTGCTCCATTTGGAGAAAAAAAATGAGAATATCGACAGTTAGGGGTCCTTACAAAAATCATATGTATAAATTATAAAATCAATCACGAAATTCATTTAGACCCTGTTTGGGTTACATTATTTTTTTCATTCTCATTCTTCTACTCATTTTCAACCACACATTCTTCAATAAAATAATATTTCCCACCACATCAATAATTTTTCCTTCTTTTTCAACCACACACTCCATCACATCACTTCAAAAAAATGCATTATCTCATTTTAATGTGTACCAAACGGGCTCTTACAATAGAAATCAGGATGATAAAAGTCAAGTTTTTGATTAACTCTCGTTAACGAAGTGGAGTTGAGGATGAATTTTTCGAACCAGTTGATAATTATTCCCTAATTGGTCATAATGTGAATTGATGGTATTGATCCCTTCTAAAAACTCAATATATAGTGGAGTTGAGTACAACGTCAAATTTTTACCATCTCTCGCTAACATAGTGGAGTTGAGGATGAATTTTTCAAACCATCTAATAGTTATTATTTTATTGCTCATAATGTGTATTTGATGTATTGAACTCCAATATTGACTAGGTACTTTAATACTAGATCTTCATTCCCTTTTAAGAGTTCTCAATATTTATTCATTTTGTCACGAAATTTCTTTAAATTTTTACTAAACGTTATCTTAAGAAAATTTAATACAAATGCATAGATTTTTCAAAAGAAAAAAGAAAAAGAAAATCTTCTCCTCCTCTGTCCCCTCCCACATGTCGTCCTTATCTCCCTCCCCACCATTTTCATTTTACCAACGATAATATTAAAGTCAACATTGTTAGTAGAAAAATCCATTGTGGTCGTTTTCACTACAAATTCCGTACTGTAATAAAGACATGGCAGCAAACTCTCTAAAGACAAGTAACCTAATTATAATCACATTATTTGATGCCAACAAACATAAAAGACAAACTTTGTCATATGCCCCTCTAATTTGTGGAGGAAATTAATATTTTTGTAAAGTTTCATTGTAAGAATCAACGGGCCCATCCAAGAATATTCTTGGCATTAGAAGCATATGCATCATTGTATCAGTATAATATTTGTAATTAATGGGCTGATTAGGTTATGGTTGCATTGGTAAAGTATATTCTTAATTTGTTTATATTTTCTTCTTCTAGACAAGGGAAAAGATATTCGGATCTATTAAGAATCTTGCACTGTCTAAGATACCATATCATTTTTTTTTCTTTTGGCTTTTTATATGGTAGGGCATCTATTCATTAAATTCAAGAGCGTACTGGATCCATGTGACAAGTGTCAACTACCATCTGTTTGCAAAGGTGTATTATCTACTAGTTCGCCGTAAAATATTCGAGCCATGTTGTTTATAAAGTGATAATTATCATCAATTTATGTGATATAAGGATCATTGTCACATTTGTAATGATTTCTTATTTATTTGGCTATAGACGGATGATCACCATCACTCTAAATGAATAGCATTACTCAATATATTGTAACTCAACCAGTTAAAACGTTCAGTTGGAAGCACTTGGAATGTTCAGTTCAATTGCTACTCATGAAATTTATAAATATACATTGCCTTTATAACTATTTCATTCGTTCTTCACTGGTTAAGAAAATAAAAAAGGATAGATAATTAAAATCTTGCTTAGAGAAAAAAGAAGTTCATAGCCATGAAGCTATGTCAAGGAGACCTCCTTTTACTAACCAATTAGGTCAATACATTAGAGTCAAAACCTCTATATGATTCGATAGCTAAATACAAAATTACCACGGAAGACTGACCCTACAATATTTGATTTTTTTTTTCAATCCAAATCAACATAGTGAATATACCATAAATATTCCTCATGTGATTTAGGAAAAATTGCAGTCACGATACCAAATATTTCATTTAAAGCAGACTTGATCCGAATCTTTTATTTGTGTCATCCACATTACCAAACATTTCTGAAATTCTCACATGGAGTCCAAATGGATGGTTTCCATTAGTTTGATCGACAGATGACTAGAATAATAAAATTTGACTTATTTTGACCAATTCTTAGAAGGATAACATTATAAATTTATATTTTTCACAAAAAAACAATTATAATAATAATTAGATCAAAAATTAAAAAATAAATAACAAAACCACATAGAGGAACCTGCAATAACAGCTCCCTTAAGCAACGTCGACATACCCACCCGCCACCGTCGCTGCCTCAACCTTTAGACTTTTATCACGGAGAGGAATCGGCAATAATGCTCACCTTTGAGCCCTTTGTGTTCAACTTTAAGGCTAATTATCATCCCAATTGAACCTTGTGATTATTGTTTTTCAAAACATACTATGGAAAATTGATCGATGGTCGTTAAAAGATTAAAAGCTATCATCACAAATCGTACTCATGAAGGAAGTTTAGATCGAAGTCACACATTTAAAAACTTAAGAGCCAAATTTCGGAGCAAGATCAAAAACTTGATTTCTTAGATAGAATGTAAATTTATTAAAACTCTGATATTTGGTAATGCATGCTTAAGATGGAAAATTTTCTATGCATTAAAAATAATTTTGTGCAATAAAAATCATTCAAATGCAATGATTTGATTAAATGTTAAAAATGACTATTAAGAATGATATTTGGATTTGAGAAATACTTTTTATCTTGAAAAGTTAGTTAAAAATATTTTTCAAAAATCCACGCCTTTCGAAATTTTCAAATCGGAACAAACGGGGTCAAAACGTAAAAAAAAGTCAAACTGCCACGTGATCGATCGAAAATTTTTAACTGTCCAAAATTTGACTGTTCTGATCCCTGATTTTTTCTGTAGGCTATATTAGTTATTCAGACAAGAGACGGTTGACTGGACGAGTCATCCAAACTCTCATATTTTTTAACGGTTTAAACTCTATAAATACCTCTATTTCTTACATTCAATATAACATTTTTCAAAAGTATCAAAGTGAGATATCTTTTGAGAGATTTCTTAAACTTGCGTTTGCATTCATTTCATTTATTTCTTCGTATCGAAAACTTTGATTGATTCAAACTCTTTAATCATCATCTTCATCAAATGTTTTCGTCTATCTTTTTGTACTTAACTTATTTCTATTACTCATAAAAGAAATATATTTTGAAGAAAATCTTTGAACTTACACGGCATGTATTTCTTCTACTATTTCATATTGAAAACTTTGATTGATTGAATCAAACTTGTAAAATCATCATATTCATCAAAAAAGTTCATCTCCTTTTTGGTACTTACTTTATTACAATCATTGATTAAAAGAGATATATATTTTGTAAATATATTTGAACTTATATTGCATTTATTTCTTCTTTATGTTCTCATTGAAAAACTTTGATTGATTGAATCAAATTTCTAATTATTATATGCCAAAATTTTAATCTAATATTTGAGCTATCATTTATTACTATTAATTGAAGTGTTAGCCTCTTTTAGTACTTAACTTATTTGTATTATTTATCAAGAAATGAATTCTATTGTAAAATTATTTTGATAAATTGTGGGTTGTGTTGAAATCTCGTAAAGATCAACATTGTATAAGGATTAATGCTCCTAGTTGTAAGTCACTGTATAAGTCATATTGAGGTGCCGTAAAGTTCAATAGTGTGGGTCACATTAAGATCCTGTTAAAACTTAATAGTGGGTCGTGTTGAAATTCCATAAAACTCAACATTCTATAAAAATTGGCACTCCTTGTTTTTAAGTCATTGGAAGCATTGTAAATGGTTGGATTGCACTATAAGTCATAGTGAAAAGGTTTTGCTCGTGCCGGAAAACTTGGTAACGGAGGACGTGAATCATTGCTTTGAATCGAACCTCCATAATTACATCGATTTCATCATCTTTCTCTTTTACTTATTGCTTTCATATTTGTGCTTATTATTTGAATTGATCTATTTATTTTTACTTACTTGAATTTAGATTAATTCTTTGAAAAGAATTTTAAATTAGACTATCAACTGTCACCAAACTGCCATCTTCACCCATCATCTTTTCTCACGATCAATGCCTTCATTCAATAGCACTACCACTTACACCACAACGGCAAAATCTCAAAAAAAAAATAATTAATTAATTAATTAAAAAAAATCTAATTTCAAAATCAATTTCGAATTTCAGATCTGAAACACAAATATGACAACTTGAAATTAAAAAATAGCAGAGCAAATTATAAAAAGAAATTGAAAATAAAGTTCTCTAATCACAATCTAGAGTGTTTGATTTGGAGGAGTTGTTGAGAGCTTCAACCGTGGTTTTGGTGATAGGAATAGTCAAATTCTTTGCTATCTTTTGGCAAATCTTTGCTGTCTTCTTTCTTGACTTGAATTTGTTTAATAGAAGTGGTGGATTTGGAGGTAAAAATAGAGGAAGAAGGTGGTGAATCTCAAATTATTTTTTCCTCTTTCCTCTTTTTTTTTTTTTTAAATTTAGGTGAATTAGAGACGGTGGTGGTCGAGTCCTAGGTGGCGGTGGCGGTGGCGGTGGCGGCAGTTTTGGAACAAGGGAAAGGGGTTGTATGGAGATGGGAAAAAAGGAGATGGTTTGGGTGGGTGGGTTGTTTTTGATCTTTTTTTATTATTTAATTATTTTAATTTATATAAAAAAATATAAATTTATCCATTTACCATAAACATTAGTCAACATTTGGTTAGACAATGGAGTTTTGATCAACTAACAATCAAATTAATGGAAACCATCAATTTAGACTTTATGTGAGAGTTTTTGAAATGTTTGATATTGTGGGTGACACAAATAAAATGTTTGAATTAAGCCTTGGTACTGTGGCGAGAATTTTCCCTATGATTTATTGTCTATGACTTGTAATACATTATGTTGGACCTTTTCCCATCCTAAATAACGCAAGGGATCTAATGACACCAGAATTTTACCCAAACTGCCACGTGACTCTCTTGGATCCAGCACGAAGCATGCTTATTTCTCAAACTGCACATTAGTCTAAGCACTAGACAAGCCATTTAGGATTATTATTTTACTTAATAAACGGCCTTTGGGGTGAATGTCCGGCCAAATGTCTCTTGGAATCTCCTGAAGTATAATTTCGAAGGAATATACCCAATTTTTGACATGTTTGTGGATAAAATTTCTCGTATTAGAGAGAAATTTTATTACAACCTAACTACTATACATTTCATGTGAATTGAATTGGCACTTATCTCTTGGGTCAGCATCTTATAGGGTAAAGTCACTTTGCCAGAAAAATGTTAACGGATGTCTTGATATAATGGGTTTTGACAAGATATGATTGGATATAAATGTTGATTGTTTTTTAAACAGTTTAATAATAAAATGTCATGTAATATTATGCCAATAATTATGTTAATCTCTCTGACACCGTAGCACGATTCCATTTTATATGTATATGTTACATCCTAAGAAAAGATTTGCTGTGATATGCACATCTTTTATTTCCCTTATTCAATGCAATTATTCATCCCTTATCCACATGCTTAATTAATTGAAATTCATAGTCATTGATTAGGTTCATAAGCGATAAAGACAGAGACAACTGAACGCTCAAAAATTCGTTTTCTAAACAACGTGCCCTATTAGGCTAAGATAAATGGCACTCGAAAATAAGTAAGCTGACTTGATTATTATATTGATAATTAGAACCTATATGACTATTTCCTTGCATGATTTCATTTCCAAATATGTCATCGATGATCTAAATGTTCTATAAATTCGAAAGCATAGACTCGACTGTTAAAAAAGCTAAATATTCACTGGACATGTATAATATATTGTTTCCTCGTAATTGGCTTTCAAGAAAAACTAATCTGAACTGATCCATTTTCAAGTCCAATTCTCAAGGACCCTACTAAATTCAGCTCACAGTGTCACTCATTTACACAGGGTTCCCCTTTCTTTACTCGAACGTCGTTCGATTTTAACAGTACAGATTTTCTGATGAAGTACATGTAAATTACAGGACACTAAAAAGGCTTGTACACTATGAATCCATAGTTAATGAAATATCCAATGGTACCCCCGGAGTCGGCTCTAGCACTTTTGCATCTGGTAGTTCTTTCGACAAAATTTCCTGCAGTGACAAAAAAGCCTATTCTTTAGAAAATATTTGACAAATTAAACAAACTAATACTTAAACACGCGATGGTAGACAAATTGTACGAGATACAACAAAGACTGTTAAGGAATAGAACTTCCTTTTGACATTATCACAACCAAAATAAGTAGTTTTTGTACTGTCATAAGAAAACACAAACACATCTACTTATTAAAGTTAGTAAGCTCCATAGAATAGTCAAGAAAAAAGAAAAACCAAAAACAAATAAAAAATGTCAAAGGAAAAGAAAGGTTCCGAGTCTGAATTCATGATGCAGGTGGATCACTAGATCTGTTATCATGAGCATGGATTTAGTGAATTTGCACAAAGATGTGTAGCAACATTCAGATGCATAGGGAATTTAATTGTAGAGGCATACTAAAAATCAATACAATTTAGTGATAATTTAAACAACTAAACTATATCCCTTTCTAGTAGAGGCCAGTTTGAACACCTATGCAATAATGTAAAATATACAAGTCCATTATTTATACCTTCGGCAAGATTTTAGAATGCTCGATTTCACATTATATCAAATAGAGCAGAATCGGATAATGTATCCATTATTTAATCCATCGTTTTAATTTGGCAATGAATTTTTTTTGCTATTGCTCTTAAACTAAACGAGAACCAGGTTAAGGCAACTGGCCAACACCATTTAGGAGGATTCAGATATGGCTATTTTCCATTATTTCCTACAACAAAAACTGTAAGCAATTTTATTCATATAAAGCCATTGTTTGGGCTCCATTTTAACGAGATTTTGGGAAAAATATACTTTAGAATAGTAATTTTTTGGATAATAAGTGGTTAAAAAGTAAATTTTTTTTAGATTTATCTGTAATATTATTTTTTTGAAAAATGTGTGATTGAAAATGAAGATAGAGAAAAATGCATTAAATTAAAATGGAGCCCAAACAGGGGAAAAATCCCTTTTTAAAGTTCATTGGCTAGTGTCCTTTAACTTGAGGTTTAGGCTCTAACTCAGGAGAAGTGAAATGCCACAACCTTTTGCCTTTTCAATCTATTCACAACCGCCTGGTTTCAGCTAAAAGTTGCAAAATCATACCTTGAATGATTCTATTGTTCCTTCAGACTGAATAAGAGCAGAAAGAAGCCCTCTGCTATCAAGGTCGCCATTTTTCATGGGTACAATGAACCTAAAATTGAGATTCAGAAACCAAATTTAAAGAAGTTACACTTACAAATCGTGTTTTCCAACAATTAAATATAAATGTGAACCTTCTCTAATAGCTTAAGCTTTTGGATAAGATGGTTCAATGGTATTCAGAGCATACGTAGGTTTTGTCTCCAAATTTCACTATCACCCATTTATGAAGATTGGGCACATGTCAGATGTTTGATAAATAACAATGCCAACCTACACAAGGGGTGTGTTGAAGACTATCTAATAAATATATAAATGGCTCCACTCTCTAATAGCTTAAACTTTTAGATGGAGTGGTTCAACACAATGAACCTACAAATGACTAAATTTCAAAACATTTCCATTTGATGACGTGTTGGAAAACAATTAAAAACTCATATTAAAAGGCATACTTGGCTTGAAGCAACTTTGCAAGCTGAACTGCATCCTCTTGTCCAGAAACTAAAGTGAAATTTGGCAAGAGCTGCTTTATAACAGGTGTGATGACAATGTCAGCCCGTTCTTTCTCTACAAAATTCTCATTGTATACACAGTGGGGTTCATAGTATAGTGTCAGTTGGCCTTGTGGAGAGGTGACAAGATAGCTGGAGCACATTTTATTAATAAAAGTAAATGCCCAATTCAATATTGAAATTAATGCAATCAAAATGACAGAGAACATTTTAGAATTTACCCATTCTCTGGACGCTGCCAAGGAGGACCTAGAACTGGTCCTGCAGTTGCCCGAATTATGACTGAAGATCCATTGCTGACTTGAATCTCTGAGCCTTGACCGGGTTCTAAATATGTGACCTAAAATTGTGCAGCAAACGTAGAATAAATATAAATTATATGAATTGGAGCCAATATGTAAGAGTAACAAGAGAGTCATTAATCAGTACAGCCATCAGTTCTGGCAGTCTGTGGAATTAAAATTTTGTTATAAATTAGATGGAAGAAATACTTTTCAAACAAGAACATCAAGGTAGGTTTCGCAGTTTGTTACAGTTCTCAGCATGCATACAAACCATAGGCAAATCGTTTCTTGGCTGCATTTTGAATTGGAGTTACCAAGTATAGAAAACTGATGCAGATTTTCTTACTCTTAGAATAAAAAAATTATGATTTTTGCAACACTCGTACTTTTTCTGTAAGGTTACACGGAGGAAAAAAGAGGAGTTGTTTGTTCTCTCTTTATTATATATGTTTAGAAAAGGCAGAATATCAATACAGTTATTGCATTTCTAGTTAACAGACACATTTTTCTCTAAAACCTTCATCGGTAATTACAATATAACATTAACAAGTGATAACTATGTCCTGATTAATTCTGGACCATCCAATTCTCTTTGTTCTTTCTGGAAATTGTTCCATCATTCCCAGAACATTTCCAAATTACCATTGACCTTCAATAAACAACGAAATAAAGGTGTCATCTAGCTTGAGCATCTGCTTAATGATCAGCCCTCAAAGCTGATCAAAAAGGCTTACTAAGAACCCTTCCAGTTGTATAGTGGCTGGTTGGACTCGTTTCACAGACAAGAGACATACTTCCTTTATATTTGAATAAGCAATATACCCTAATGGCCTTCTTATGTATCATGATTTTACAAGTGTAGGAGTTAAGCCACAGAACTAAAAATCTTAAGTTCCAAAACTCAGGTAGATATTTCAAACTCTTACAGACTGTACTGTATCATCCCAACAATATTGTTACCAGTCTGTAAAGAGTATTACGCTTACTTTCACTCCGGAATAGGTATCAAACACTCCTTTTAACAAAACGTTCTCCTAGTGCTAGCATATCCCAAAATGAAGTACTTCATTCGTTAGACTTATGTTGATGCTTCAAATGGAGAGTTGAGGTTCCCTTACGATGATAATTAGGAGTAACTTTTAGAAATATCCCTATGATATGTTATGTATCAAGTCTCTTTCCAAGACTTGAGCATACCAGATGAACATCAACAATCTCATTACCACATAATATCCTATAGGTATTCATTACAAAACCCACAAATCAAGAAGCTGAACTGAAAGCATTTTTGACAGGTCCCAAAATCTGCCACCCAAGGGTTTGAAGAACATTTGAGCTGAGCTTAACTCAACATTGGCTATCCATCTAGTCACGACGTAATCAACAGGGACATGGCCTCTACTTTACATAATTGATGGATTAAATTGTTGATAAATGATTTACGCTGTCAATTGTTGCACAAACTTAGAGAAGGCAATATGATTATATGGCTAGTAAGGAGATGGAGATGGAGATGGAGATGGAGATGGAGACTACTCAAATATTTGAAAATCGGAACATGAAAGGAACAGCTTGGGGTCTCATAAGAATTGATAAGATGCAAGTTCCATATTTCCAAAAACATTAAGGCTCGTGATGGGGATAATTCATTCATAGCAATTTTTCCTATTGGAAGTAGTACCTCCATATTTAGCTTATGCAAACCCTCTCCACATCATCTATGTGATTATGAAGGTAAGGACCATATCCCCCATCATTGTACTTCATTTTTGTTATTAATCTACAGTCAGGGTCCACCAAGCTGCCCACTTAGGCACAGGTGGTGTTTGACAAAAAAAATAAGCACTTCTATAAACTTCTTTTTTGTAAATTTACAACAATACAGGTGAATAATCTCATGTAAATTGTTTTCATCCCGGAACTTAAAAACACGTTATGAGTACTCACTATTCATTACCGTTTGCCAAATTCGAATCACATTAGTGCCCCATAACCATTTGTCAAGTGCTTCGCTGTACTCTTAGGATGTGTGTTATTGCCCCCACTCTATCCTTATATGCTCTAATTTGTTTTTACCACAGTTTTGTAATTGCTTTGCACGTACTTCTTTCATGTAAAGCATCACATTATAGTTTTTTCCTTTTATGACGAAGTAATAGAAATCCTTAACCAAATGGCCACCATCTCATTTACAGTATGAACTCTATCCCGGCATAAGCAGTACTTCCTCAACCAACCAACAATAAACCAAGACATCATTTACCTTTCTGAAAAGAGGATCCAAAAGTGCCTTAGCATTTGGAGTTGCTATAACCCGAAGATTTGGTAACTTCTGAGATAGGGGCTTTAATGTCTTCAAATGACAATGATCGTCAAGGCTTTGTGTAATCAGTAAGCAATCAATTTCAGGAAGATCATCAAGCTGTACCAATATCACATATCATCAAAAGATTCTCAGCAAATTGCTTTATTAATTGAATTGTGAAGGTATAAAAACCTAAGAAGTTTTATTTACCAATCCACTGTAGAAATTGAAAGTCACCTTATTCTCACGGTTATTAGTGAAATTGAGAAAAACAAAAAGTCATAGCGAAAAATAGTACCCGGAAATTCTTCATAAACTTCTTGGCAGCATCATAAAGCCAAGGAATTCCAAAATCCAAGTTTCCCACCAAGATTGGATCGACCAAAATTTTCACCCCACCCACTTCCCACAGCCAACTGTTCCCCTAATCCAAAAATTAAAAGATATTTATTCAACCATAATTCTTAATCAACCAACAAAAAAACAAGAACCAAGAACAAGAAATCAAAATCCCACCTCCAAATAAGTAAGTTTAAACGTATCAGTTACAGAATCACCTGACTTCACTACAGTTTCTTCAGACACTACAGCAGAAACATCCTTGCTTGACCTGCAATAATTCAATTCTATATGTTCAATCTAACTTGAGCACAGTAAAATAAATGAGCCAGTTATTCACAGCAAACCTGGGTGTTGAAAGCTTCAATGTGCTAAAATTGATAAAAGATGGAGTCTTTTGAGGTGAGGTAAAACGGGTTGTTGAGAACAGGGACATGGGTTTTCTTGTACATGGTTTGCAAGTGAAGTATGAGAAGGTATTGCAATGAGAAGCCATATGTACTGTGATTTCGTTAGTGAAATTTATATTTCCTGTTTATCAGCTAATATTTATGAAGCAGCGAAATTTAACTTCTTTTCGAGAGGTTCTGATGTTGCCACATGCACATTCTGCCAACAAAAAAATTATCACCAATAATTTTCTCGATTCTTTCGTAATTAAATTAAATTTAGATTTTCTTTCTTTATCCCCATTTTGTCAAATAACTGCCTGTGATGTACTCTCTGATGGCCTCAGCCTCAAGTAACTAGGCTCCGGCAGGCAAGACCCAATTCAGGATTTTCTCATGTTCTTTGGAATGACAAAAAAATTCGACAAACTCGATATTCGTAGGGTCCATCCTGAACTGGGTGAGGAATTTTACCATGGGGAGGGTTCGGGTGCCCTGCCCCATTTAATTTTTTTTTTTTTTAGAATTTAATACTTCAAATGAAAAATTTTGCGAAATTTCATTAGTTCTAATAGAAAATGACAACTAAAATTATTTAAAAAACATGACAAACAAAAAAAGTCTTAGTTTATCAAATATATTTGAATAATTTAACTTTTAAAAATACGTAAAGATTAAAAAATATATTATTATCTCAATTTAATGAACGTGGACAGTAAAATGAATTATCAAATACAAGTCTAACCACATCGTTCATTTAGCATGCACAGTGATATTGTAGTTGAAATACATCCAAGAAGCACCATTGGAAAATCACTTCGTAACGAATCAAAGCGTGCAAAGAAAAAGAAAAAAAAAAAAAAAAGAACTCAAGTTACGATCTAAAATCTGCCACATTGTGTTAACTGTTTGTATTTTATTCATTCCATCGGTATCTCCCAAATACTTGTAAATTAGATTCGTTTGCTAAAACTAAGGGATCTTTTAGTAGAGAGCTCAAAAGAACATTCGTCATTTTTTAATGATTATTCTGCTTCAAAGGACCATTGGTCAATTATTTTTTATTTTATTTTCTGCTTCTCGATGATGCTTCCACACACCGCCACCCCACGCCGCAACCAAAAAAAAAAAAAAAAGAGGACAAATACTGTGTACTGTACAAATTTGCTCCATTTACATGTTGAAAACAAGCGTTCTTTCCCATTTCTGTTGTTGGTAAGGGATGGCACTAACAACTTTAACAGCTTGAGGGAGAGGCAGCTCGTCGTTGTTCGGGGGCTTCTCATGCCAAACAAAATCATTCTCATGCTCATACTTTCGGAGGAGCCCAGTCAAATCATCTATAACCCCTTTAGATACTAATCTCCATGACTCTTCTTTTGGCATGTTCTTTACATTTGCTAATGCCTGACGAAGAACTCCAACTGCGATGCCAATTTTACCGTCGTTTCTTAAGCCTTCTGCTAGGTACTTATAACTCTTCAACTCATGTAATGTTTTGCAGCATGAAAGAAAATCCTGTATGGACCACAAGAGGATAATTTAGACGGCTTTTTAATTTGCGGTAAAAAGAAACTTCTCAAAGAAAGCTAATGATGGCGGTGCAAAGAACACATTAATGAATGAGTTCAAGTTCAGGCAATTCCTTAAATACCTTAAATATCCATCATAATGATTTTTCCTCCATCTCACATGGATTTATACTACATGAAGACTTTCCCCAAACATGAAAACCCCTGCCCCCAGGAAAAAAAAGAAAAAAGAAAAGATGTTTGAGCGTCGATTTTGTACTCTTTGTAATGTTAGAAATAACTGCCACATGCTTATGCTACTAGAAGATTACTATTGAACATTTTTAAGGTGGTAAAGAATACAATAGTTTGATGGCTAGGGAAACAAATTAGTGCCTTAAAGATAATTGTACTTTATATATTAATATGTGAAGTATTTTTGTAGATTTATGAGTATTCTGCTTATCTCTTGAGGCGTAAAAGGATACTGCTATAGGTAGGAATTCTTATACTGATAACAGATATAAAAGAATCATGTCAAAGCCTGAAAACTTATGGATCACCAAACAAAACCAGACCATTTTTAAACAAACATCTTACTTTCAATATTTACCACATCATCAATGCACGAAACTGATTGCTTTCTCTTTCAGCAAATTACAATGTGTGTGAGAATTTTCATTTGATTGCAAGGGTCAAAAGGTAGGTGCAAGGCTTGCGTTGAATTTTAAGTTTTCGTTTTAAATTGCTCGATGTGCAACCATTGCTCTTCCCCATCTTCCTCTTTTGCTCATCAAACATACATGTCTCTAATTAAGCCTCCGTTTGGAAAGAATTTATGAACAATTTAATTCATAAATAGATAGAAATTAGTAGTACTTTTGAGTCCAATTGGAATGTGTGATTTAAAATGAATTTTGGTCATTTATAAAGTTTGCCAAATGGAAGCTAAATATCCACAATGATAATTATTTCTTTTTTTATTTTAGGAGGGAAGGGGGGGCAAGAAGTTAATTAGTATCTTTAAATATAAACGTACCAAAAGACGAGATGAAATATCTTTGCACTCTCCGGTTGCAGATTGCAAGACTATAATGGCTTCAACCAGAAACTCTTTAACACCATAGTGCAATTTTGCCAAGAGACCTCCAGTATTAACGTTTTCTTCAGCCTTTCTTACAGTAACAGCCTAAAAAGTTTCACGAAGTATTCAAATATCAAAACGAAGATAACAGAACTCATTAGCATTAAGAATTCTTGAGCAGTTAGCATAAGTGATAATGACAAGCTGTCAATGTTGAAACAGGTGACGTGCTGAATTTGATCAAAGGCAGTAGTTATGTCGTGTAAAGGATTCTTTTAAGGAAAAGTTTACAATGTGGAATACATGAACCTGGGCATCTGCCAAGCAAATAAGGCTCATAACAGAACACACACAAGAACTTGCTTCGGGGGGCCTTTCTGGGGGCAATGCACTCTGTAAAGGGGGAAGAACTTCATGAGATAAATAATGGTACACGCCAGAAGCTTTTCTGAAGAGGGTGGCAGATTGCACCAAATCTACAATAATGAACAAGATTAAGTAAAAGTAATACGAATTATGCTTCAAAAAAGGACTTGTGAAGATTTATGCTTACTTGTTGATAGAACTTCTAGAGCCCATTCTCGAAGCATTGTACCATAAAGGAAAAGGGACATTCCGATCTCAAAGTGTAAATCATTAATCTGATAGAACTTTGGACCATTAAGGTGAAAAATAGATGATGAAGTAAGGCCACTGCTCCATCTTATTTTCAGGTCCGAAATCCAGCAAGTCATATGTCGATTGTTGCCGACCAGATCAACATGGTGTACCAGATTTTCTAATAAAGGTAAATAATTTTCCAATTTCTGGATGTCCTGGGAGAGGTTACAAAGAGAGAAACAGAATGAAATCTAACATATTCTGCCATTGTGTTTCGGGACATGAGACAGAGTCCAATTATATCACAATGTGGACCGTTGTCAACTAGACTTAGGCATTGTTTGATCCCCATTATTTCAAAAATACATTTTTCTCCCTCTTGTTTTCAACCATACATTCTTCGTCAATTTACTATTCCAAAATGCATTCTTCAATAAAAATGAGGCTCAAACAGGCTCTTAAAATGAAAATGATAATATTAACAATGCAGGCAGTTTACTGTAATTAAAAGCAGAAAACCATAACTATTCAAAAGGCTTTTCTAGAAACATCCTCGTCCAATGTCTTATTACCCGTTCACAACGTGAAGTCAGTCCTCCAGACATTTCCCGCGCAATAGCCTCTGTAACAAAACCGTTCTCATTAATGGACTCCTCGACTCCTTTACGCTTGGAACTCAACTCCTTGAGCTGCTCAAGCGTGCCAGAATCACGAGCCAAAAGTGCATTTTGATACACAACCTATTAGTTGTAATATGTTATTATTAATCATTTTAAGCAACAAAGATTAATAAAACAGTCTTTTTGCTAGTAGAATTCAGAGCAACACATTTACCATAACAACCAAAAGTTGGGGACTTTGAAGCGACACACAGTACACGATAAGCAAAAATGTCATTGCATCACTTGCTCAAATTAGGCCTAGTTTGATTGCAGGATTTTACATTCAAATTTGAATTGATAAACAAACAAAATCAAGATACAGCAACCCTTTATGTGCTTCCATTAGCAATATCTAAATTCAAACACGAAAGCCTAAGGCAACACAAAATTGTTCACTCCAAGAATTCAATATTTTCTCTTATACTGAAAGCATCAAGATACATACATATAAAGGTGTAAAGAAACAGCACGTACCTGCTTGGTTTTGAGCTTTGAAAGGCCTGGATAACTTATCATCATCTTCACTGACTAATATTTATGTATAAGATTTCAATATTTTGCTGACTCTCTCCTTCGCTTTCTTGAATTCCAGTCTCTCACCTGGATCCCATATCAAGAAATTGAATAATAAAAGAATGTAAGTTCAAATCCAATAGAACGTAGAAATACCACCGATACTGAAAAAGAGGCTGCAACCCACCACTGCTAGAGGGAGAAGTGCTACGGAATTTTCAATGGGGGCAAAGACCCACGTCAAACCCAAAGCCTTCTCTTTTCTTCTGATACAGTTATACTGAATATCTAATCATTTATATTAAACAGTGAAGAATGGTGGAAGTTAGTTACGAATCCACCTGGAAATTGATTCACAATTCTCTCTCAATCTAATGAAATACTAATGAAATTCTGCAAAACCCATCTTGATCTCTCTCTCAATCTGCTGATTTTATTTTTGACAAATTAAAAAAATCTCATTTAAAAAGCAATTTTTGCCAAATTTTTTCTAGTTTACTCTTATTTAATGATTAATAATAAATTATTATTGGTCGATTTTCATACAAATGAGTAATGTTTCTTAGTTTCCTTCTCGACCAAGCATTCTATAGCGTTTGGAGTTGAGAATTTAAGGATGAGAACGTTAAGATATAAGTGGACCCTGCGTTTGTGCCTTAATTGATTTTTTCTTAGATAACATCAAAAAAAGGATAATTGCAGACACCATCCCAAACTTTTTAAATCTGTATATATTTTACCCTAATTTTTCATTTATTACATTCGTGATTCCAAACCTTTCAATTGTGTGCAACTGAAGGACAAATCGCGGGAATCCTTCCAAATTTCCATTACTTGACCAAGAAAACTGATTTTGACCACATTTTAATCAATTTGAGGCCCTTTTGGATGGTTTCCATCCATTTTTCCTTTAGTTGACCCAAAAAATTAATTTTGACCACATTTTAATCAATTTTAAAAATGCAAAATCATAGTTTTATATATTTTCACATAAAATAATTAAATTAATTAAAAGAAGAAAGCAAATAAAAGATACACCCCACCCCACCCCACCCCATCCAAACAAAACCAAAACAATCTGATCACTGTCGGCCATGGCCGGCCACCACTTGCAACCATCAACACCACTGCACGAAATATAAACACAAGTTTGTTTTTTTTTTTGTTATAATCAAAATCAAGAATCAAAGAACTCCAATCGCCTGTCCCAAAATCACAAATTAGATTAATCAAGCTTGTTTGGGGTTGTTTATAAGATATTCAAATTACAAATTAAAAGAAATAATTTTTTGTCAAGTGGATAGTAGCTCTTCAAAATCTGTAAATAAAAAGTTACTTTGATGAATTTAATATATAATTTAAACCATTCCAAACACGTGCTTAGAGGCATGTAAAAAGTGGACCCAATAATTATTATCACATTAATTTTAAAGGACTTTAGGGTAGGTGACAATAAGATTTACATTTGGTTAACGTGCAAATAACCAACTGTTAGCCCGTATTTGATTTAGATTAAAATAAAATTTTTAGTAAATTATGATAAAAGTTGATGAAATTTGTGGTTGAAAAGTCTTAAATTCCATAAAATATATAATTAAAATTAATTGTTGACTTGAACTTTCTTAGTGGAATCAAACATGAGCTTAGTGTAAAAAGGAAAAAAGAAAAAAAAAAAACATTGACAAATAATTCACTCTTTCACAATTTACCTTTTTAGAGGATGTGAGATTTATTTTAATATAGATTTATGCTTGAAACTAAATATAATTGAACTAGTTAAACCCCTATTTGAGCTCCATTACCTAAAAACTCATTTTCAATCATACATTATCTCAATAAAATATATTGTTCGTAAATTCAAAAAAAAATTCATACTTTTTAACCACATATTCTAAAAAAATTCACTACTAAAAAGCTCATTTTCAACAAGAAAATAGGGCTCCAACATAGGCTAAATTGTTGGGAGCAAAAAATAAAAATAATTTCAATTCCCACCAAAAATTTATTGTGTTTAAATGAAAACCGTGATAGAAAATATACATTTGTTGAATTCTGCAAATTCTTTTGCTTGTCTTGAACACGAACAATCACGATCTACAATTCACAGTTGTCCTATTTGTACAGCCTTCAATCAAAATCCACACATAGAACAAGAATTAAAGAAATTGTGGTTTCTCTTTTCTTGTGCTAGCAAGATAATGAATCTTATTCTTTTATCTAAAATCATAATAGCTTATTAATATAAATTTAAGTAGGCTTTTACCCGTCTCTTGAACTTATCTCGATCCAATATTTAATTAATTTAATTAATTAAATTTGGTTCATGAATTAATTAATCCAATTAATTAACTTGGGTCTATTAACAAGCAACCAAATTAATTAATTATCCAACACTTGTTAATTAATTAATTGGCGAATCTCATGCTTTTGATTCTTTTTTTGCGTGTGACCCATTAGGTTCCCAATTACGATATCTAACGACGTAAATTATTATTTTGATCTAATCAAAATCGATAAATTAAAATAACCATTTTTGATTTATCATCAATTCATATTCATCATCCCAAATTGACATCTGCCAATGTGCCATCCAATGTGTTATGGCAATACATATGAGGGAAAATGTCACGTAGTAGGCAAACCAAATTTGTTCGTTTACCGTGAAATTATAATCATTTTGTCAATATGATCCGATCAATGATGAGATGTGTACATGTTTCAATCTTAATTATCGATCCTATCTTTTATCCAACTATTAAGTTAATGTAAGTTGAAAACTTTTTTTTCAACTTATGAGTATACCTTGGCCAATAATTTTGTTATCAACATAACTGAATGAAACGTAGATTATAACTTCTTACTATCTAAGAGTGGCTATCCTCTATTGGTCATTCGCACATTTCATATGATTCTTGATATACACGAACGATGCAGTATTAACGACTATTGGCAGAGCAATATTCAATATCACCAAAGTATGACCATCCTCGTATAAGACACTATGATGACCTCCAATTAAATGATCAATTCCACTACCGAACGTTAGAGATTAAACACTGACACTCAAATAGTTATCCATGTGGAATCTCCCCAATGGGTTTCCAATGTTAACAAAACATTCACGTGTTCATTTAAAATGTTATTATACTTTAGTTTGTGAGATCAGTTACTTCCTTCAGAAGTAAGAAATGTCACACGTGATGGTCTATCCAGAATAACGATATTCATATTTCGTTATTACTTACGACCACTTATGATTTAATATTCAGTTATATGTAATTTGTATCTTACAATCATAACACCTTTTGATTAACAAATTATCAAAATTTGAATCTGCGAATTCTATTATTTTAATTTATTAGAATAGTAATTCAATTAAATAATAGATCTACCATAAATGAAATGCATCAATTATATATTAAAAGCGTTTATATCCAAAATTGATTGAACACAAAGAATAACACTTATATAAATTTTCTCTGATAATATTAAGTATGAGTAGTCCTATTATTATACAAAGTAAGAGAAATCCTGCTAAACTTATGTTTGTGTAGATTAAACCTACTACATTTACAATAAGTTAATGTATATTAGGACGTGATGAAGAATTGTCTAAGTTACTTGGAACATTATCTCTTATAAGTAGAGCAAATTATGAAAATTTTACAAACCACAGTCTCCAACATTTTAAACATTATTTGGTGGTTCAACGATGGATTCAATTCAAGTCCAATTTTGCCCAATTCATCTTTTTCCAATTTGGATTAGTAAAAATATAATCTCCATAAGCTATATAGTAAATCCACAAAATAGCTTTATGATTAGTTAATTTTAGACCCGCTGCTAGTGCTGAAGTAATCATGACGTCATATATTTATTACTTATTGACTTAAATTACGTCATCACTATTTGCATTGTATTTAATATGTTTTCGACGGCAGAAAAATCTTGGAAATACCTTTACTATTTTCCTAGTTTGGTTGTTGGTAGTGGATTGACATCATGTCCAAACCCAATATTATAGACAAAGAAATCTGCTAAACATTTCACAATTTCATTTTATTTATATAAAGAAAAACTGGTTTTTTAGTTGATCTAGCAAAAGCTTGCTGGAAAAAGCATTAGTGGCCAATAGAAGGGCACTTCACCTTTATTCCACAAAAAATATAAGTGATCAACCACTACAAATACGTGATGACAGTCATGAATTCCTACATTCTTGGTTTGTATTTGTTTTGGGGCAACAATGGTTTTGGCAGCAGGATTAGGTGGTGAACCATAACTATTATGCATGGAATTCACCATGTTTTTCAATGTTCTATTTTTACGTTCAGCCACCTCGTTTTGTTGAGGAGTGTAGGGAGCTGTCGTTTGATGTACTATTCCATGAGAAGTACAAAATTCTGTATGGGCATTCGATTCATATTCTCCTCCTCTATCTGAACGCAGTAATATCTACTACTATCATCTATAAAAGTAATATAATAATTCTTTCCTCCTCGAGTGGGTGTGGATTTTAAATTACTCAAATCTGTATGAATTAATCTCAATAATTCGTTTGATCTAGAAATAACAAATTTATATAACTTACTAGCAAATTTTGACTCAATACACGTTTCAGAATTATGCATGTTATCCATAATACAACTAGGCAACAAACCAAGATTAACCATTCTATGCAAAGATTTAAAAATAACGTGTCCTAATCTAGCATGCCATAGCGTAGAAGATTCAATCAAGTAGATGAAAGCCTTATTTATATTATTAATAACATCATTCTCAAATGCATTGAGTTTAAAGAGCCCTTCAGCCAAGTAGTCATTTCCTACAAATGTTCCCCCCTTAGTAAGAACAAATTTGTCAGAATCAAATACAAGTTTAAATCCTTTCTTGCTTAGAACGGGACCAGAAATAAGGTTTTTAGTAATAGTAGGAACACGTAGCACATCCATAAGAGTAAGTTCTTTTCCAGAAGTTAATTTCAGAACCACTTTTCCTTTTCCAGC